AAGAGTGTCCTTTAATTAATTGACATGTGGAAAAATTTAATCAGAGTTTGTATTTACCGTAATCTATGTTAACTTTGTTTTATCGTGGTAGGGATTAATTTATCATTAGACTTGTGAGAGCGAATCATTACGACGCCATTACATCCATTTCCTCTAAGGAGGGAGTTAAATCTCTCTCTCTCTCTCTCTCTTTCTCTATTCATTATTATCGTTGAAATGTGTGCAGCCGGTACATACGTAAAATAATTTCTTTAAACGACAGAAATCTCTGTTCGCAAATTGCAAGTAAAATTGAAATAAGAAAGGGGATCAGAATTGGGCTGAGTTGGAAGTACGATCAAAGATAGAATTACGAGGCTGGTACGCATTGATGATAATTTAGAATACATAGCGACCCGCAAATCAGCTCGGCATCCAATTTCTTCTCTAATACAACCAACCTTTAGTGATTCGCTTCGATTTATCGAGGGAAGACTCATCGAAGCTTGGGCTTATTACAGCGAAGAGGATTGTCATTTCAGTACATCATCTGTCTAGCTTCCCCTTTGCTAGGATATTTAATAAAGAAATCACAAAGTGTTTAATCAGAGAAGGTGGTCACGACGCAACAAACAGCAGTGACGAATTGCTCGAGTGGTGGCGGAGGTGGTAGTGGCGGTGGAGACCGCAGCGGTGGCAGTGGCGACGGACAAGAGACGATCACGTATGCGACCGCGACTAATACGGTAGAGGAGGTGGAGGTAGAAGTCGACGAGGTAAAGATGGAAGCTGAGGATCATCTGGCAAGGGAGTACGTACAGGAGTTCGTCCTCGACCATTTGGATCCTGCTGTCAAGCGAGAGGTGAGCATGTAAGAATGGAGTATACTGAGAATGTTTCTAACATAATAAAATCGACTTGTTTTAAAAAGAAGTATATTTGATACTATTATATATATTTTTACAAGTAAATATTTGCATATAGATTTAGTGCTCTATGTATATTGGATAAGTTATATAATTCAGTCAGTTTACATCTCTATTAGAATTAATAACAGAAATAAGTAGGAAGAAGTTTTGAAGATCAATTATTAAAAAAATGTTTCCTTGAAAACTTACTCCTACTTCTTTTGAAATCTTCAAAAAAGTCATGATAATTGCAAAATAAAACGTGTGAGAGACAAGAAGAAAGTAATAAATGGCTCCTTATATTGTCATAGTAATTACAAAATATATTATTTATACTAATTATACTATAGGTATACTTGCAGGTTTTAATTAGTATATTATCTTTAAGAGGAATGAGATCATTAAGAGCCATTTCTAACATTCTTCTATTAAATATAAATTTATGTGGTAAAATTGATATGAGTTGCAAAATTTTTATTTTAAACATGATATTAAAATTTTTTAATCTCAGGATTTGAAATAGCGAATGCAATATGTCAGAATATATAAAAATGAAAGTTTTTAAAAATTACAGATATGTTTTAAAGAAATTTATGAGTTTTGACATATTCATAAACTTTATATACATGTTATAAGCTTGATGTTCCATTCTCATATCGCTTATATTTGAAACCACACATTACACAATAAATAGCTACTATATAACAATAATGTTATCAGTAATATACATCAAGTGTGTCTACAAATTAAGATGTCATTAAATAAAAACATATATCAGTATGTCAGATTTTAGATATTATTAAAGATACAGGATAATAATTATAATGATATCTTGCATTCAGGATTGAAAATATTTGGGACAGACGATAATCTTTTTAGAATTTTCATTCTCATTCAGAAAAGATCAGAAAAGATAATTTTCAAATAATCACAAGTGAAAGATAATTTCACTAGAGTTTTCGTATAATTATCTCGTTGCTGGATTATATCGTCCTAAAAAAGAAAACAAGATAAAATGTAATATACGTTATGTATAAATATAGTTATTATATTACCATCACGAGTGTAGTATGCAATATAACAATGTGTAGTACAAACAATGGCTTACCATATATGAGCGAAATGTGTTCTGTTATCTATTATGTGTAAATTAAATAAATAGTGATTTTGCAAGTTGACATTGATACATGATTGCTCTCGTGAAAAAGCGCTCATACTCGACATAGCATAATAGCGTGTTTAATTTTGTTAACATAACATTTATCTGATACTGTCTTGTTAATATCCATTCCATTGTTTAATGAAAATAGAAAATAATACATGCTACAATGATTAGGTAAACATTATACGATCAAAATAGAAATCTGCAATTACACATTAACTTTTTTACATATGTAATACGATGACCTTTACTAGAAAAATGAATAACGCATTTCAATCAAAACTTTTAATTAAAATGTTTTAATGATAAACTGAATAAAAAATATTTGGTTTATTACACCGATTTTATAGTATTAAATAATAAATAAGGCACACTTTTAAAACGCTGAAAATAAATTTTCAAATCACCGAAATTCGGTGAAAAATCAAAAATCGCAGAAAAAAAAAATATAAAAGCATTTAAAAGCTGGAATCTTGTATTTTAACATGCCTTTGGCCGTTTATCAAAGTATTATTTTTACAATTTTATCTTAACAAAGACCACATTGCCATGTTTCTCAAAATTACATACATTAAACAATCTGTAGCTTGAAAATAAATTTTTTTAATTTAATATTTTTACAAAAAAGTACAGAGTTTTAATCAAATTAAGCGACATTGTGAAGTTAAACCAGTATATTTTACAACGAACGTCAAAATTCGACGAAAAATCATCGCAAAAATTTTTTATCTTTCCAATTCTGCAGAATGAAATTTAACCCTTGCCGTACAAACGTTCTTGTTAGTACTTATTTAGTGTAGACGGAAGTTGTTAACGAACAGCGTGTTTTTTTTTTAATGAATTAAGTGGTTAAAAAAATATTTAAAAATTCATGTAACTTTTTTAACTATTCTAAATGAAAGATTTATAGATAATTTAAAAAATCGCCTGGACAAAAATTACTTCCGTTTGTGCGGTAAAGGTTAAAAACGACCAAAAGCACGTTAAAGTACAAACTTTGAGCTTCAAAATATTTTTTTAACTTGTTGCGGTAATTTTTTGTCAACAACTTTGTAAAAAATACAGATTTAGTTTTAAAGTTGCATAATTCGGTCAAAACTATAAGAAAATTATTTAAAAAAATATTTTGTAGGTTAACTTTTGTATCTTTTTGTAAAAGTAGATATTAAATTTTTTGAGCAAAAGACTTTGTCCAGCTGCAGATTATTGAATATAAGTAATTTTAAGGAACATAATAATGTTATTTTCATTGAGATACAGAAAAAAAGATAAAAATTTTGTGAAAAAAACGGCATTTTTGAGAAACAAAAGCATGTTAAAATTAACAAATTTCGAGCTTTTTAAATGCTTCTTTATTTTTTGTCTGCTATGATTTTTTTACCGAGATTTGATCATTTGAAAATTATGTAATTTTAAGCGGTGTTCCCTATTTTTTTGTTGAACAGTGTATATAATTGTGATTTATTTGAAATAATTGTAAGCGACAAAAATTCTATCGTATAATGTTTAGGTTTTTGAATTATTTTATCTTTTTCGTGTTATAATATTGAATAGGATAAAACAAAGTTTTAAATATTGATCGCTTTGGCTATTATTTATTTGAGTATTGTCAATTCCTGTTACAAAACAGGAAAGAAAGAAAATAATACAGAAATATTCTTATCATAAATGAAATGTTCAGACGGGCTTATCTGTAATATCTAAGTGATATTAAAATTAATAAGACTGATTTTTACTTGTTTTAGTAAAATAAAATAGATGGCCAATATTATTTCTTTTCACAAGAGGGATATAGCCGTGCTTCGCGCGTAACGGCTGATAGATTGTCATTTCTATTCAATATGGCAAATAATCTCTTAAGAGTATCTCTTCAATTACATCAATTACGATATTCCAATAACATCTAAACCAATCGAATTCATAATAGATACCTATATTTATGTTGGCTGAAATTTTTATTACACAATAAAAATGTTTCCTTCATGTGTCCTATGAACAAAGATATGAATTGCAGCGCAAAGTCTGAATTGCAATATTTTTATTTAAGTAGATAATATCGAAAGTCATCCGAAAAAGTACTTTCGATTACAAATGGTTCTAGTAGTTCTTGTAGTTAATATTGGCAGTCGATTGTATAAGAAAACTAAGGACTTAAGCAAATAAGACGTGGAAATTTGCGGAAGAAGCAATATGATAGGTATCTTTTGCGCTTATCTTTGCCCTTTGCATCATGAAGGGACTCTCCAAGTTCCATCTTTTTCCGCTTAATTTTTAATTATTTTGATGAATTTCATGACATTAAATACCGGCTTTTTGTTTCCGTAGAACATGAAAAAATATTTAAAAAAGTAGGCGACCATAAATTTTTATTTGCGTAATTACTATATATCTAACTAAAGTAATCAAAATTTATGCTTAAAAATACATTATTTACTAAACTGTTATTAATATCAAAATGGCAATTTAAGTACTTATTTAGGACATCTTAGAATGTCTTTTAAAATTTTTCACTCTTTTTAGAATTTTTCATCATTTTCAGATTTTTTCGGTACGTTATCTTTTTTTATTATAAATTGATAACCTCTGAAAAATATGGAAGGATCGATTGTAAATAAATAATTGGAGTGTCTCTCTTATAATGATATTCTAGATTATTTGGATTACTGAATACACTAATGTGAGGTCAAAATTTTCAAATTTTAAAATCCAAAATGACGGAACCGTATGGATGGATTGCGACGGAAAACGAAAAAAATAGTCTTATTATTTTAATACTTAGTTTCTTGGTATTTTGGTCGGTGCATTTGTGAATTTGAGGTTATTATTAAAACCTGTCCTTACTAAATAATTTATTTTTATGTATATGAAATACTACACATTTTACTAAAAATTATTTGAATTATTCATTCGTCATACTGAATCAGCCATTGAATTTTTAAATGACTTTTGATTTGTAATCAGTGATCAAAAAATCCTCTGGTTCAAAGTTTCAAAAATAATTGGACTCATACAAAAATTTAAAGGATTAAGAAGAAGCAGTACGTTCATTAGCTACCACATTATTTACAGATGTTTTAATATCATAAAAGATACATTTTTTATCATTTATTATAACCTTTAAGTACTGAGATAAAATAATAGATACTGTAACACTTTTACTGAGATTGGTTCCTGGGATTTCAATTAAAAAAAAACTGGAATAAAAACACAAGAGTGTTATAAATCTATGTTTTTATTAATTAAAACGTTATAAATCAGTTTTTATGAAAGTACTGAAAATGAGACAGATATAGTGTTTTTTTTTTTTTTCATATGGTCCCACGGATCAACCTCAGTACTTGAGGATTAATATGGATAAAATAAGCAACTTAAATTTTTCGCTTATTAATCGACTATTATGTCCTCGATCATGCTCATTGTTGACATCGATAAAAAATAACATTTTGCAGGTACGAATGGGTTCACCGACGGTAATGGTAAATGGCAGCGTTGTACAGCTTCCGGGACAAGTGCAATCGCAAGGACTGACTCTGGCACCATTAACGCCACCCGCGCACGAGTTAGAACAACCGCATCCACTATATGGTCAGCCCCATATTCAAGTGCAACATGGCGTCTTAGTAAAGGCACCGCCTGGTGCCGTGGCGCATCTCACCACGCTGTCACATCCGGGCACGCCGCCGGATACGCCGCCTGTATCGACATCTCCACCGCCATTGCAACTTCACCGCAGCGATCGAGATTCTCGCGATGCTCGTGATCTTCGCGACCGTGGCGGTATACTACTGCAGTTGCAGCAACCAGCAGCGTTGGTACAGGAAGAGATGCAAGTGGGTACAAGTGGCATGGGTTGGCTGACGCAGTCATTGAGACAAGAACCGCTGGACCTGAGACCCCACTGTCCTCAAGAGCAAACTCCGGAGACTCATCATGAGTCCTGGTCAGCAACACCGGCGCATCATCATTTTCAGGAGTTGCAACATCTTCCGCGACACACTAGGCACACTAGTAAGTACAATAACAGTCAATTCATTTTTGGTAAAGAAAAAACAAATTATTTATTAGCGAAATATTGTTTGCAAACATTGCATGCGAAAAGTTTGCAATCAACTGTCGAATATCTGCGAAAATTGAATATGTTGCTTACATCAATGTTTACTTTGGGTGTTTGTCGCTTTTTTATCTTATCGCTTCTAGAGAAAATGTTTAACGAACTGTTTGCAAATAGCAATCAAACAAATAAAAAATAACAACTTATCGCAAATTGTTTATTAACAATTTATATAAGCTTTGACGAACAAATGTTCACATAAAAAATAAAGCAGTTCGCGATTTATTCACAAACTATTTGTCGACTTCGATGAAAATACATATCTTTTATTAAGATTAATTCAATACAGTAGTAATTTGATAATTTCAAAGTCAATTCTTGGAAACGTAGACTATTTCTTTTAGGGGTAGAAAAAAAGATGTAATTACATATATCCCTAAAAAAATACTTTCCTTCTAAATTGTTTGTCGTGGATAAAATATTTGCAATATATTCTTGATGGCTATCCACTTGATTTTATTTCTTCCATCATAAAAAGAAGATTGTTTTCTATATTTGTTCAGCTCAACAATAAAAATAATCAATCTTATGATTCTATGAAACATAAGGTTGATTAAACAATAATAAGATTAAAAGACCGCTAATGTTAAACATAATACTTTAAATTAAGAAGCGCCATAATGGTCAGAAAGTTAAGATGTTGAACTATTGTAAATTCATTTAAATGAATTAATTTCGGAAATTATAATTGCGTGCCGATATGATTGTCGGACTTTCAACGCAATCAAATCTGAAAAGGTTGATTATTTTACAATTCTATTTATTTTGAAAATTGTTAATAAACTTATTCAATTTAAAAAGCAGAGTTCTTATGTTTAAATTAGTTTTTTTTCAGGCATACCAATAAACTCAACAGATTTACTAAAATACTTTAGGATCCCTTACTTACACTGTCATGTTCTAACGTAGTTTACAAGATAGAGTGTTTAAATTGTGATTCAACATATGTGAGATAGATGCGTAGACTATTAATTAAAGGATAGACTTGACGAGTAAAAAAATAATATTTGAAGAAGCTTCATACAACAGTTATCACCGAACACAGATTTGAATAAGGTCACGATTTTGATTGGGCCAACGTACAAATTTTAGACGATGAAATTCATTTTAAAGGAGGACACTACCACCCTTGAGGTTTAAAAAAATCAAAAATTTTTTTTACTTAATTTTATAATTCGTATTGTTAAGAATAATATTTATAATTTTAAATCGGTATCTCAACTGTATAATCCCGTTAGAGCCAATATTTTGTATCTCCTCACCTCGCCGTTGAGTTTGCTCCAAGCGGCGGACATCGCACAGATAAAAGGAAACTCTAAATTTTCGAAGAAACAAATTTTGGCAGATAGATGTTGCTACTTGTAAAATGTATGGCACAGGCATTGCAAACTAAAGGCACAATTCCGATTTATAATTTTATAAGCAAAAAGTTCTGAAAACTTTAAACGCGTTTTTCTCAAAACGAGGTTTTTAAAGTCGGTGTACACGATAACTTTTACAATTCTTAATCGATTCACTTGAAATTTGCACAGATTATTCTCAGATGTTTAAGTTAAAGAAGTACGTAGGATTTTTGCCATATATTGAAAACTTTTTTGTTATTAACATTAAAAGGTGTAATTTTATGGTCGAAAATATTATTTTTTTTTCAAACATTTACCATTTTTACAAAAATAAATATTTTAAAGTAATTCTACTACGTACTTCACTAGCTTTAAGTATGTAGATAATAAAAATTTTTAGAATTTTGTTCCACATCAAAAGATGTAGAAAATTCCATGTACACCGCATATGCACTGGGCAAAAAAGGAGGCTCAATGCTGCTGAAATAGGGCCACCATTTTGTATGATAAAAATTCAAAAAAATTTTTTTGTACTCTCGAAAGTTCATATAATAAAGCCCTTAAAAATGATTTTTGATTAACTTTATTAGCTTATTGCAAAAAATTGCCAAAATTAGATATCATTTTTAGAGTGGTGTTCTCCCTTAATAAACGCTTATAATATCTGAAATAATACATTATTATTTTATATTACATTATTATATATTAACAAGCAACATAAAGCGTTAAATTTATAAAGCGACATAGACCTATTAGATTCCATCTATTGTGAGTTGATTAGTTAGTGGCGAAATATGAGCTCTCTCTCTCATTGTTGGTTCTTATTTTGTACACGATAGATAGATCGCGGAGGAGATTGCTATTTATACTTAATATTTGAACTTAATATTTGAACCTTTTTATCTAAAGTTGCATTTTACATCAGTTTGGAAGGTGTAATCTCTCTTCTTGCTTTGTAAGTTTATTGTTAACCATTTAAATATATTTTAAACTTAGCTTTTCCACATATATTAATTGTATTTTATGTAACTAGTTGATTTTTTCAACTTAGATCTTTTCACTTTGACCATTGTTTTATTATTTGACTCTTTCGGCGTTGGGAGACTGCCAGGAGGAAAGATTACATCTTGTTCACCTTTCCGTTACTACATATTTTTTTCTGACTGTTACACTGAAGAGAATTCAAATCCAGGAATGAGATCTAGAATTGAAACGTTTTTATGCTGTACATATAATATATTGAATTTTAAGAGATTTAATTACTGATTTCTTTATGCATCAACAACTGCGAGGCTTGCACAGGCTCTTCATTTTATTGATTTACTCATTATAGTTACCTTTCTTTTTAATTTTAATATTTAGATTTTTGTTATTATCTTTTAAATTTGATTTATGACAATGAAAATAATAATATATAAAATAAATAAACTATAAAAATGTGTTGTTTAATAAAAACAGAATGTTATGAACATAACTTTCGTATAATTTATTTAGAATATAAATATTAATATTTGTGGTATAGGTATCGTATGTTTATCGAACATCTTTAATTTATTACAAAAACATTACTTTATATATAGTATATATATATATATATATATTATATAAAAATACAGTATATATAGTATATATGTATACATATACATATATAAAAAAAATATATATATATATACAGGATCATTCTGGCATGAAATGTAGAGGAAGATTATTTCTATCGTATTAATATGGTATGTAATTATAATAATTAATTGTTTTAAAAGTTGAATACCGAAATTGTGGAAACGGTACCTGATGTCCCTCTTACTCAAATTAATAAAAAGAAAACAATTAATAGCTGCTGAAGATTAAAAAAGAAAGAAACGTTTAATAGTATGATACATGCTAATTCATTTTTCTTGCTTCTCAATATTTCGTCATTTTCTATTACTTTTTCTAACGTGTTTTGAATTTGCCACATGGATATTGTTGTCACAGGTGGATACCTGGCAATGTCAAGTCATCTAGAGTATTACAGTGGTCCAGGTACAGGAGGAGGAATGCTTCCCACGGGCGGGGGTGTAATGCAGGGGATGGAGGATAGCATGCAAGGCTTATCAATACAACCGGGCAGACCATTGAGCGTATGCTCCGTGAGTTCTTGCGGCGCCGGTGGGCCCACTCCAGCTCATCGCTCGGGTAACGGCTTGTACTCCAATTGTAACGGTACGAATCCTCAAGACGAACTCATGGATGATGAACTTTTGATGTCACTTTCTGTACGCGAACTCAACAAACGTCTCCATGGTTGTCCACGAGAACAGGTGAGTGATTCTTTTGTTTTTTATTTGTGTATAGCAAAATTACTTTGGAAATTTCCGATATTTCAAATCAAGGATTGAAACTAATGAATATCGATAACTTTAATAGTCTTTTACAATAAGTTAAATAAAACTGATATAATTTTAATTTAATTTTTACGCTTTATTTTTTTAATATGAAATTAATATGCATGAGAATAATTATCGTCTGTCTATCTATATTTTGAGCACAATAAAATTATCGGTTTTCATCCTTATTATAAAATTTTGATAAGTTAATATACTAATTATAATAATCAGACTTTTATATTCCAAACAAGTTGAAGCTAAACAACTTTTTTATTCTTAACATTTTCCTTCAGTTGTTACTTTTATGATTATACAACAGCACACACGTAAAATGCAAACTTATTATGTGCTATTACATACAATATAATGTATACGTATATATATAATCTATGTATACAATATAATCTATGTATACAATGAATTATACATTTTTTCGATTTTTATTTTATATATTACCTATACATAATTTCGTGGCAAATGCTGCTGAGGAAAAAAGATAAAGAATAAACATAAATTAAGAATGTTAAGAATATAAAGGTGTCGAAAAGGCTCAAATATATGATTAAATCTACGATTGTGTGCGAAGGTGGTGCGGCTGAAGCAAAAGCGACGAACGTTAAAGAATCGTGGTTACGCTCAGAACTGTCGCAGCAAACGGCTACAGCAACGGCAGGACCTTGAGAGCACTAATCGGAACTTGCAGAATGAACTCCAGCGTGCGAAGATCGAGCTGACACGGATTCAACAGGAACGCGACCTCTACAAGCAAAGATACGATATGTTGAGAACGCGACAGAGTCATCATCACAATCACAATCATAGCCATCATCAACAGCAGATGACGCAGCAACAGCAACAGCAGCAGCAACAACAACATCAAACCCAAAGTCAGCAACCGCATCCACAACAACAGCAACACCAACCAGCACCAGCGAGCCCCGAAGTCTATCTGTGACATCGACAGCGCCGAGGAGGCGCTTGTTGGACTTGAACAGTCATTTGTCGCATCAATGGATTCTTCTATTGGTGAGTAATTACAAACCGGCAATATTATAATATACGTAGACTGTACGTTACAATGCACAATGTAACACTTGCTCAAAATTTAGGAAGACAGAAATATCTCACTTAATTGTGTACATTATACGTATTATATAAAATGATTCCGGAATTGCGATAAATTTAAAGTGATCTCCTTAAATTGAACAGCTTTTGTTAAATAATCTAGACCCGCGCGCGCGCGCGCGCGCGCGGCGATACCTAGTTAAAGCTATGTTTCATCGAACATTATTAACGATTGTGAAGATTTAGCGCTTCTTTTAATTTGTCACAAATTGTCCGGAATCACTCTTTATATTTACGATCTCTAAATATATCAAATGACTTGGATATTCAAGTGTGTATACAAAAAGGCCGTTTGACAATGTTACTGCATAATTGTCGAGGTGATACCAAAGCATTGTGTACGCAATATTAAGTGAAAATGGGTTGATGAGATTAAGTACACATTAATGAAGAACACACTGTATTCGGTCAAGGCAATTCTTCGTGTCTAATAATATTTCTTATGAATTTATACAATTTCTAATTCAAGCTAACTGTGCGCCGATTATTTGTCGGTTTTGAAACAGTCCTAAACCGAAGCTGAAGTAGTAATTCCATAAATTAAAGTAACAAGCAATTTAATATTGTTACTGTCCAAACAACAAAAAGTTTAAAATCAGATCATAAGACGTTTTTTGCGTCTAAAAGATGTCTTATGTCATAATTTTAGACTTTGTGTTGTTTGGGTAGTATCATAAACTCTCTTTTTCTTTTCAAATGACTACAAATATGGTATATATACATGTACATATATAGTATATTTTTCTTTGTTTTCAAATCTACGGTCCATAAGATTTTTATTATTTAAAACCTATTATGTACTCAATTTTATTCACCATTTCTGCTACTGTTTCTGACATATTCTTAATATATAAAAAAGTTATAATCCTTCTGTCTATAGTTTAAGGAAAAGAATAAAAAGCTGACAAATAAATTGGATAGTGGAGTGGATAATGTAATACATTCACATTATCATTACCCTCCACTCCACTTTATTCTTTTCCTTACACTACTAAATATCAAATCAATAGTAAATATCAAGTATTATAATACCATTTTTTAATAGGACTTTAACTTTTATTATTAGCTCCAAATTGTTTTGGTGAAACATAGGATTCGACAAAACGCTAAACTATACATCGTGCCTATCTTATAACACATGAAATGATTTGATAGAAAAGATAGATATCCCCCCCAAAAACATGTATTTATCCGATAAAGGATAGATGTTTCCCTCATGGAAACACATGTATATAAATTTCAATATATATGTATATATGTATAATACATCATAAAATTATAATTATATTATCACCTGGGAAAAAATGGTCCATGCATGATTGTACATGATTATACATGGGCATACAAAATCATGCATTAAATAAATCGAAATCTATTCATAACAGCAAATAAATCTTTGAACTGCGCAAACGTCAACTAGCTTTGCTACTTGGAAACATGAGCAAGCAGTACGCAATTTTATGAACGAACCTATCTTTCCCGCTTCTCTCACTTTATTTGCAACGCCATTTTTGCTGACACCGCTGTTCGGCGATGAAACCATCGGGATGGAACGTCGGTAAACAATACGTTCACCTCTTTCCTCAGTCTCGAAACCCGCAGCTTGGTAGGAAGCAAGAGAAAGAACAAAAGCCGGGATTGCCAAAACCGTCCTTTACAAATTCAGAGGATTCTAGAAATATCGTATATTTCTTCTGGATCATCAATATACATATGTATATTAACAAGGAAATGTATTTAGTGCTTTTTTTACATTATCATTTCTGTTTAATCAATCTGTTCACATTGATATTTCAAAAACGATCTTTAAATGAAGAATAAAGAAATTGACTTCAATGAGGTTATTTTTGAATAATTTGTGTTACGATATGTTGTACCTTAAGGCCATCACACGTACGATTTGCTTGAAACCTTACGATTACGACTAAAAATTTTGTATGTGTAATGGCCTTTACCTTGATAAAATTTTGAAGAAATTAAATTTTTTAAGGCGCTTTCAGACGATGGCCAAGTACAGGCCAACTTTGCAAAATTTTTGCAAGAAGGAAGAATGGAAATTTTATTTTGAGACTCAGAACAAAATCTTTTAACGCATAAGATCAAATTAGATTCTATCGGTCTAATTAACTTAATTAATTCATATCCGGTGACACACGCGCGCATCTTTAGTATGTTTAAAAATTATGTCTTTGATAAATATTGTGTATATATTGAGATTAAATAGTGGAAAGTCATGCGCTCCTAGGCAGGATGAGGAAGTAAGGTGATTTTTAAGCCTCATTATGTAAACGGAGGTCAAATTTGTGTCCAAACGATTTTTTAAATTATGTATATTTTGAAAGCAAGTGAGTACGAGAACACCGTTCTGCTCCTAAATAAAACTTCAACTTGTGGAGTGGGATTAGGTGCCCGTGAAAGCCCGACAGTGGGCGTCATTTTTTCGCTGAGAGCGGATATTCAAAATCGAACGCGGACACAAATGAACCCCGTTTACGGTGAGGGTTGATAATGTTATATATCGCAGAAATAAGACGTTATTTGATAAACTTATTTTATTAATAACCTTCTAACGAATAACGAGCGACGGCTAAAATCTGTTGGAGGTCACTCAGGGTTATGATCTTAACAACTTATATCAAAGTCAAGATCATCGGAGGTTACCTCCCCTATAATACTGAAATTTCTTTGATTTTCTTATGAAATCAATACCCGAACCTTCTGTTCGTGCATGAATTAATTCTGTAAAAAAAATTTTGCAATCCGTAATACCAATTCGAAGATTCTAGTTGCATTGTAATTTGTGATAGGTAATTGGCGTCGCTCTAGCGACGCCAATTATCTATTTCAAATTCTCTTAATATTTATAAGTTTAATTTCCTAATAGATAACATAGATAAAGTGTGATATAAAGAATTATTTTTTTAATTTTGATATAATGTTTTAGAATCACCTTATCATTCTTTGAAATTATTGCCATTATTAAAAATATTACTTACAAATAGTGAATTTTCAAAACGTTAGAAGTTAAATCTTGTTGGATGAATTTAAGGATTGCATATAGATATTATTAAGATATAAATAGTAATTAAACTCTATTGTAATTCAAATATCAGAATTAAAATTTCTACTAATATTATGGAAATAAATAATATTTTAAAGATATCATATAGATATTTCTAATTGAATATAGTATATAATCTTTCTATACGACGAGCAAAGGACAGATATGAAAATAAGAAAATAATTGGAAGAGTTACTTTTTATGTACGTGACACCAGTGATATCGAAACAGATTTTGTCATGCGAAAGCTGCGTTCAATGATTGTCAGGCATGGAAGAGGATAAAGTTCTAATGAGAATTTAATAGACTTGTCCACAAGGGTCGTTTGACAATGGCTCGTTTTCGACCCTCACAGAATCCCCGAACAGACGTCGCATGTCAAGTTGACAGATTGACTGTCCGTTTCAACAGATTCGTTTAACAGCTCTTGTTATAATAGCTTTCGTTTAATTAAGGATGTATCTGAGCTATTCCAAAGTACCAAATTGATGAAACTTCGGGAAACTCTTCCTTTGTTATCTATAATATATTATACTAAAAAAAATTTCAAGTAGATTTACTAAACCGTTAGAGAGTAATTATTATTTTAATTATGATGATTATAAAAATTTAATACTGGTACTGGCCAATTAATAGTTTATTTTAAGTATTAAAAATATTATTAATATTATAGTATTTTTAATATTCAAAATAGATGATTAATTGGCCAGTATTAGTATCAAAGTTTTATAAGAGATGTTTTCTTACAGGAAACGCAACTTTATCGAATATAATTAATAATAAAAGTAGAAGAAATAGTACTAAAAATTTAATTTTTTTATGCGTATAGATCCTAAATAACTGGAACTTTTTGCAAAATTAGATTAATTTTCACAACACGGTTTCAGAGAAATTATTATTCATAATAATTTCGCGGTACGTATGTATAGCTCAATATGGCATATTCTGCCATATTCTGCCATAATAATATATTTATATTGTTTAAATAATACATATTTCTTTAACATCTTTTTTAATCATATTCCAATTACTTTTTCCATTTTGTACTGGTAAATAATATTTTGTTATAGAAAGTTGAAAAATGACAAGTAAAGTTAATAAAATATTGAAAAAGTGAAAAATAACTTTTAAAAATAAATATATTGTATTATCTACCATTTATATAAGTTATCACTAGATTTACTACACGTTTGGCGCAGTTATGCAAATATTTCGAATTTGGGGGACTTTTGTCAACGATTGTATCTCAGATACATCCTTAAATCCAGATATAAAATAATCCAATTGTAAAATTTTCCAAAATACTTTATTTTCGATTTTACGTATTATGTAATTTCGAATATATAAATTAATTTAAAGAATGAAAGGTATTTTCAAAAATTCTGTTTCTTCTATTATATATGTATACAGTGCAGAGAGGGGCGGAAATACGTAGTACAAGGAAGGAGTAATTATACAATTTAATTAAATCAAAATGATAGAATACATTTTTTGTTTTTTCGAATAAGGTCTCATTTTCAAGAAAAAAGATTTTGAAAGTTATTAAATTGCATTTATTTGACTGATATTTGACGTAATGGTTTTTGTCACAAATATTTTATACGATCTGTTTCTTATCAGGACTAACTAAATAATTGGATAATACATTATTAAATTCATAATTTTTTATTATATAAATACTGCATAAATAAGTACGAGTACATATACTTTTAATGCGATAACATCTTACATATTGCTAAAAAACACAATTTTTTCTCTATTTATTATCTGTATTGATAATCAAACTCGAATCAAAATAATATT